AAAGAGAAGGAATAAAAAAAGCTTAGTTTTGATTCAAATCCCACAGTGGAACTATGAGGTAATATCATAAGATTGGGTTCTTATTTCCAATAAGTTATTATACTAAAATTGTATACATTAGGTACCAGAGAAAAACAATATAAATAGATCTTTAATATATATCCATATAGGGATAATTAAATCAAGAAACGCAAACTTTAGGGGGGTGTGGCGACCACACTTTGCCTCAGCTAGCGCAAACTGGGACAAAGCTTCACTACACATATGGGCAAAAGTGTGGCAGCCTCTAGCTGGCTTATCCACAGTTCAACATCGTTGGGCCAAAATGGAACGCTTCACGATTTTGCATGTCATCCTTGCGCAGGGGCCATGCTAATCTTCTCTGTATCGTTCCAATTTTAGTATATGTACCGCCGAACAAGCGTCTACAAAATGGTGGTTGGGCCAAAATGGTGGTTCATGTCCTGCTCGCCAATTTTGTGGGATGGTTGAATGCGTGGTGGTGTTGCTTGTGGAAGGGCCGCTGATAAGATTATAATCTTGCTCTGTATGTGTAGTGAAGCTTTGTCCCAGTTTGTGCTTGCTGAGGCAAAGTGTGGTCACCACAGGGGTATAATAAAAAGAGATTATAATTAAATACATCAGGGAGAGAGAGTAGTAAGAAACATGTGACTATATCTATAAAGTAATACAATAAGAAGATTCAGTGCAAAGGATGGAAGGACACACAACATATTCTCTATATATAGATATAGTGATTGAAGGGTCAACATTCAAAATCTTGGAAGTCTCTATGTTACAAGAGAGATGTTGGGGGGGAAAATACAAAGAGGTATATATATAATAATATAAAAGTAAATGACTTATCGATGATTGAAAAGTTATCCACATATCAAAAAAAAAAAAAAAAGATAAATGCAAAGAGAGTAAACAACAATTATAGAAAATAAATAATAATAAATTGAAGAAGAGAATAAACATTTGGTATAACTAGAATTACTATCAACTTGTCAAACCTGGTTTACAAGTCTTATCTTTTTTTCATTGGTAGAGTCTAGGTTATCATTTTGGATAAATGCTTTGAAAGAACAAAAAGGAAAGTGTAGAGAAAGAAATAATAATGAAATAGCCTCACACTTGAGCAATGAAGAGATTGGAAGTAAATGCTTGAGCACAAACCTTGAGAGATAACATCTAAGAATCTTGAGTTTAGGGATGTACTAGGAGGTAGAGCACACAGCAACCAGGCTGCTGAAGTTTTGACATTCACAATCTTTGAAGATATCTATGACAACCATGGTGTTAGAATTACTAAACTACCTCCAGTTTTATAACCTTGATTTGTAAACTCTATATGGCAGAAACTCCACGAGCGGACACTTCTATACAAAGGACAGTTAGGATCGACCTATCTATTTTTAATGAATTGACTGCTCTCTGGTAAGATATATTGTGCTCTCCAAAGCTTCTGTAAAAAAGGTGTTGTACATTAGATAGAATTTCTACTGAATTGGTTTCACCAATAGACAATATCCACCTTCCATTTCAAAATAGACAATATCCACCTTCCATTTCAAAATAGACAATATTCATCTGATGATGGGCAAAAAATGAACTGAAAGAAACCAGTAGAGTCATTTTTAAAAACTATATTCTTATAAAATTGTTGTGGGTATTGGTAAAGAAAAGAAAAATATTACAACCTCCATTAACAGATGGCATGCTTCAAGACATTGGTCCATTCCCTCTGTTCGAAGTCACGAGTCACGCAATGCCTGTGTTTGAACAACTGTTGTTTTGAAAATTAGAAACGATATAAAACATGTATGGAATCCAAGAATTTATCTAAAAGAGCTGTAGAGGGGAGGCAATGGCATCACGGCGGAAGAAGAGGCGTTGTCACATAAAGGGAACCACACGTAGCCGTATTTTGGTTTAAAATATATTTTTTCATTGGATTAATTTGGTCTTTTGCTTTTTTGTGTAAAAGCGGTGTCTGATTGGCCTGTATTCCACAGAAGCAAAGTCAACCAATCTTGGTTATAAACCTGGCTGATAGCAATTATAACTCCTAATTCTATCCACAGGGTTGATAGATATTTTTTTTAATGACGTCATTTTTCAAGATTTTTTTAATACTGACACTTTTAAAACTGGTATCTCTTGGTGACATTTTTTTTCCCTGTCTGCTATAATTTTTACTGTTTTGTAAAATAAAAGAGCACAATTTGAAGGTGAAAGAAAAAAACATTTTTTTCTATATATATCAAATAACTTATTGTAATTTAATGGGGGAAAAAGAGAAGGGTGATGACATTCATTAGCAAAAATCGAAAAAAATGGTACCTTCTTTTTTAAAACTGTTCCAAAACAATGCATTGGTCATCTCTAATCAAAATATTCTGACCAGTGAATAATAATCCACAACATCAGCAAATTCAGACAAAAAAAGTGGCAAAAACCTATATACCATGGTTTCTGGTTACAAGATCTTCATCCATTTGATTACATGCCAACCTATAAGAGAACTTTTAAGATAGAGCAGTTAAATGGTAGGGATGATATATTAAGCCAAAATATATTTTGTATCCTTTAACAAAATGCATTGCCTTGATGCAATTTAAAAAAAATAATTATGCACTTTTTCCGCAAAATAAAATCTTTGAAGCACATTGACTAGATAGGGGAGGAGATACAATTTGTAGGGATATATATATAGCATTGAGACAAACATAAAAAAATATACATTTATAATAAGAGCATATATCATTAATATATAGGAGGTGTAGATAGATCCATTTGGAGAGAGATATGTAATTTAATACATATTTACACATAGGCAGAAAAGTTACATAAAGCATATATGCAAATAAAAAAAAAGCATTATCAAATAGAATAACATACAATCTAAACTTATTCTTTGAGATTTGGTAGGTAAGGGAAAAAGTTCTCCGTGTTATATCATAATCCTAAATATTATAAAAATATATATTTGTAAATAATTTATTGTTTAAAATAAAATAAAAAAGGAAATGCACAGGATTTAGTAGTGAAATTAAAGGCAAAAAAAGCATCTACTGATTGGACAACTGAAAGATGCTGATGGTTTGTGAAATCTGTTGGAATGTTCTGAATAGATTCTGTTGATAGATGGCACAAGCCATCAGTATTTCTGAGTTAAACAAACAAGAAGATGCTTTTTTTTTAAATTAATTTATTGATAAGGATTATATATATATAAAAAAAAAAGGTAACAAGACTAAATTCAAATGGATTTATGGATTGTTACCATTTTTGGTTCTCAATTTAATGTGTGTAATTTCAACTCAAATGCATTATCCTGCCAATGTTGGAACATTTAAATGTAACTACAAAACCTTAAGTAATTACACATTTAACATTTGCAGGGGATTACTACTTTAATTAGGACTGCTGATAATTGGGACTGTTTATAATTGGGACAGGCCTCAATTAGAATTAGGGAGAGAGTTTCAACCGCATATATATATATATATTTAAAAAATATATATTTCTTAATAAAATATATCTTCTATATGAGGATAAAATATAAGACTGAATAATATCCAGACAGTGTGTTCAACTTCTTTAATTCAACACCCCATGGGATCAGAATTTTCAGATGAATTAAAGTTGGTGTTATATTGTCTCTTTAAGTAATTTTTCTCATAATCTTTGTGTTTCTTTTAGAGATCGAAATTATTATAAATTTTATAATATAAATTTCAATCTAAAAGAAACAAAGATACTTGATGTTATAACTGTTAATGTTATACTAAACATATCGCACATTTTTTGGAATATGCAGGAATTAAGTCAGATACCAAAAAAAAAGAAAGAAGAGATAGAAAATTGGCTTCAACATTCCCTCCAGTTTGAAGATCCAGGAAAACACAGGCCAAAAATGACATTAAAATGGAATGTTTAAATTCAGAAAAAAAAAAAAAAATCCTAAACAATTTAATTTAGAATCTGAGTGTGTGACATTTCACCAATTCTATATATATTACAGTCAAATCTCAACCATTGGGATTCTCTGTGAAAAATGAAAAAAACTTTTTCTTTCCACCCATCAACAAATAGAAACTCTCCCAAGACAGAGATTTTTACTGTAGTTAGTTCTGAACAATGAGAGTTTGATGTTTCTAGGTGAGTTGTGGTACAATTATAAGATTTAAAAATTTTCCTATTGAGAGAATCCCAAATAACTAAAGTTTGACTGTATTTCTATTCTTCTTCTAGAAAAAAAAATAAAAATAACCAATTTTATAGAAAGTTAACAATCACACCTAACGCGCCATCTGTTATCAAATTACAAAACTATTTTAGACGCGTAATTTCTTTTTAAAATAAAACAATTTCCATTGCAGTAAGGGCAGTAGAAATTATTTTATTTTAAAAAGAATATTACGCGTCTAAAATAGTTTCATAATTTGAATCACACCTAAAATAACCAAATTTTTTACACACAATGACTAGAAGCCAGATTTGAACCAGAGACCTAAGAGTCACCGTTGTTGCGTCTACAGTCCTGCGCTCTGCCAACTGAGCTATCGAGGGGTCCTCACACACAATGACTAGAGCCAGATTTGAACCAAGGACCCAAGAGTCACCATTGTTGTGGCTACAGTCCTGCGCTCTGCCAACTGAGCTATCAAGGGGGTCCTCACACACAATGACTAGAGCCAGATTTGAACCAAGGACCTAAGAGTCACCGTTGTTGCGTCTACAGTCCTGCGCTCTGCCAACTGAGCTATCGAGGGGTCCTCACACACAATGACTAGAAGCCAGATTTGAACCAGAGACCTAAGAGTCACCATTGTTGCGTCTACAGTCCTGCGCTCTGCCAACTGAGCTATCAAGGGGGTCCTCACACACAATGACTAGAGCCAGATTTGAACCAGAGACCTAAGAGTCACCGTTGTTGCGTCTACAGTCCTGCGCTCTGCCAACTGAGCTATCAAGGGGATCCTCACACACAATGACTAGAGCCAGATTTGAACCAGAGACCTAAGAGTCACCGTTGATGCGTCTACAGTCCTGCGCTCTGCCAACTGAGCTATCAAGGGGTCCTCACACACAATGACTAGAGCCAGATTTGAACCAGAGACCTAAGAGTCACCATTGTTGCGTCTACAGTCCTGCGCTCTGCCAACTGAGCTATCAAGGGGTCCTCACACACAATGACTAGAGAGTCAAATCAAAACATAACTCTGAATTAAACAAAGATAATCCTATTACAGTAGAACGTACTCCAAGAGAAGACACTATAGCCCACCTCTCTCTACAAGGACAGTTTTCCTTTCTGAGATTACCATTTTTATTTATTAGAAGCTCTCCAGTAAGAGGACACCTCACCTTAAAGAAACATTTTAGCTTTGCAACTAGGTGTTGGCCTTTATAGAGAGGTAGTTCTACTATATAAATACAAATATAAAATAAACGTAACTCCGCCTTTGCCGGTCCCAAGCCTGGATGAAAAAGGAGGAGGGGGAGCAGTAACAAGCTCACTAAAAAACCTGGGTTCAGCTGGCCCGGCTGATAGTACCCTGTAAGGGCTCCTAATCCAGGGATACAGGATGAGCAGCGTTTGTACTCCATGTTAGGAGCGGCTGCACATGGCGTCTGTTCCTCATTTCAGAGGCGGCCATTTCTTTTGGAGCTAAGTCGGCCTGCCATTGAGTAGTGCTCTCAGTCTTGATGACAAAGGCAGACGCATCCTACTTCACCCAGTGTGGAGATAAGAAAGAAGAAGAAGAAAATAAAGGTTGTCCCTCCTATCAAATAGACACCAAAACTTGGCACCATTTATTGATTGTCTCCTCAAACTAGTAGACTCGGGTCGGTGACAAAGCCACAATATCAGGTTTGGCAAGTTGAGAAGCAGCCACCAGGAAACCATTCTGACCTGTAGTCTATTTAGACAGGATAGTTAGCCTTTATTTTTATAGATGATAATCCCCCCTTCTAGTAGAATCTCTATATATACAGTAGAACTACCTTCCTATAAAGGACAACACCTAGTTACAAGGTCAAAGTGTCCTTTACAGAGAGGTGTACTGTTACTGGAGAGAAGAGAGAGAGAGTAGCTATTTTTTATATGTTAAAACTTATTTACAACATCAAAAAGCCTTTATTTAGGGTCACTGACCCTATACAGGATTCACCAGAGGTATGCATAAGAACAAAGCAGTGAAACAAAGGAAACAACAATATAAACAGAAGAAAAAGAAAAAAAAATAAGAAAGAGGGAAGCAAGAAAAACAACACAAAAAGAGTAGCAGTAAGAAAGTGAGGAGTGAGTGTCAGTTAAAACCTTTTTAAAATATGTAAATATATATTTTCTGTATTCAACTTCAATTTTCTGAATTGTCTGCTAGCGGGAATATGTCTATTATATGTGAAATTCAATAATGATGCATTAGGAATGCTTCTGTTTTTTGGAGATGTCAGCTAGCACGAGTGTCCGCTAAGGAAGGTTCTACTGTATTTATTTATTTATATGAAAAAAAGAACATATTGGCATTTCCTGAGCACTCACATGAGAATTTCAGATGGCAAAGCACTATCAAGTGGAATAAAAATAAACTAAACGTTAAATTTTGGAACAAGCTAAATCAACGTTTAGTTGTTTTTTGTTCCACTAGATGGCACTTTACCATTTAAAATGCTCACTTGAACGGTCAGGAAATGTCAATTTTGTGAACATTTTACTATTTTTTCCTTTTTTTTCAAATATATATATACAGTAGAACCTCCCTGTAAAGAGACACCTAATTGCAGAGCCAAAGTGTCCTTTAGGGAGAGGTATCCTCTTACCGGAGAGTTGCAAAATAGCAAAAATGGTAATTTAAAAAAAAAAATGAAAACTGTCCTTTGTAAAGAGGTGTCCTCTAGCGCAAGTGTCCTCTCATGGAGGTTCTACTGTATTTATGTAATATCTCTCACACAACGTTAAATTTTATTCTGAGATAAAAAGGAATGCATCAAAGTCAGGTAAATTGGCCAGGACAGAGAGTCCATCATTTTCCTAACCATCTGTACACATTTCCATACTAACTTATATACATATAGTCTCTAGATAATATAATATAGATTTAAATAGTCAAAAATATATGTATCTTTATAAAGAAGCTCTGGGAGGTGGGGTGTTAGGGTATATATCTAAAAAATATATATATATATATATAATACTTTTCATAGAATTAAGAAAGATATATTTCTTCACATAACTTACATAGTGTGGGGTATTTACCTCATTGATAAACAAATATCATCATTAACTTAATTCCATCTAGTGATGAAACATAGAAACCTTTTTTATTTATACATAACACAAAAATGTTAAAATATATATAATTAATTAAAATCATTTCTAAAGAGCCTCTTTCAATTTTTAGGGCTGTAGAAATAATTTTATTTAAATATATATTTCAAAAAGAAAAATATGTTTCTAATTTTCAAAAATATATACTCCTAAAAATAACAAAAAATAATCGTATATATATATGAGAAAACAATAGAAAAAAATAAAAAAAGGTCAGGTGTTGATATTAAAAATAATAATGGCATATCCTGACCAAAGGTACATGTTATTTTTTAGTTAATTTTTGCTCCACTAGATGGCGCTCTGCCAACTAAAAAGCACAAGTGCTTTTGGTCAAGATATGCTTTTATTATTTTATATATATATATATATATATAAGAATTACAAAATAGAAATTAAAAAGTTTTGTCTTATTCCAAGCAAATAACACTCTGTGTTCCCATACAACAACAAAATTCAAATTATAAATACCCAATGGATATAAAATGCCATCAAAGCTATCGTTGAAGATCAGGAAGGGTTAAATACAAAAGTTAATATTCCCATTGAGATTTCTAAACTAGATTAAAAATTGAAAATAAGTTTTTAAACAGTCAAAAGATCTTCCCAATCAGTAAAAAAAAAAAAATGCCGTCAAAGTCCACCCAGATTCCATCCTAAATATTACGAGTGTGGAGGCCTATATTGGATTGAATTATAAATATTTTATATTATAGGGGCAGTATATACACTCATTGACCAAAACTTGAGGAAGTGAAAAGTCTTTTATGATGTACTAGAGCGCCATCTGTTATCAAATTATAAAACTATTTTAGAGGCGTAATATTCTTTTTTAAAATAAAGGCCCTCCCTTTAATTTTTCCATCGCAGTAAGGACAGTAGAAATTGCTTTATTTTAAAAAAGAATATTACGCCTCTAAAAAAGTCTTTTATGTCGTTGGTCATCTATTTTTTTTATGGAAACAAAGGCAATTGTGTTTATACCTGATTATCCTGTGTATCTTCAATAAAGGTCAATGTAATATCTTCTAGAGTTATTGTCCCGATATTCATGCTAAAAGGTACAACTTCCTTAAGTTTTGTCCATGAGTGTATACATGTGATAGCTTGTATGACACAAAATAGAACTTTAATGAGGCCTGTTTGATATGCTAGCCTGATGCTAACGGCGCTGTTACAGGACTGTCTGTAGTTCATTGTATTATAAAATAAAAATGGGGATTATTTCGTTATAAGGGAAGGTTTGCCATATCCCAATTTCATTCTAGCGGTTTTTTTTACTGTATATATGAACCTGAATTTATGTTTTAAAATTCTTAAAGAGAATCAACAAAAATAAAGGAAGGTCGGGAAGAAATGAGAGGATATTTTAAGCCTAACTTAAATAATAATTAATAATAAAATAAACAAAAAAAAAAACATATTTTATACAAACAACTGTTAGAGTAAAATTATCAGAAACAAAAAAAACAAAACAAAGATAAACTAATCTAATATTTCCAAACACCCTATAGCAGTGATTCTCAACCTTTTTTTTGTTGCGGCATTATTATTTTAAAGATTTGAAAATTTGGCGGCACAATTTTAGAATTTCGCGGCACACTTTTGCTAACTTGAATGCAAGAAAATTCAAATTATGTATCAATATTTTTCTATGCAAAATATAAGTAATATACATCTCTAACATTCAATTTGCTAATTTCGTTATTTTAAAAAGTAAAAAAAATGAAAAAGAAAAAAAGAAAAACCAATACAAACGTGAACATAATCATATGACTAAAATTCGGCGGCACATTTTTAGAATTTCGCGGCACACAAAATTACCGCGGAACACTGGTTGAGAATCACTGCCCTATAGACTCTAAACTTCCTTTAACAGCACGCGCAATTGAAAAAATAAAAATTTTTCAAAAAATAAAATAAAATAATAATAAACAGCTCTCTAGGTAGAATTTGGGAATTAATAACCACAATATGGCAACAAGGGAGAACCACCCCGACAGCACAATGACAGACAGACAGATAGCAATACGGTGCTGTGGGAAGAGGTCCGGAAGACTGGATGATGATGGTGGTGTGGGGAGCTGGACTAGGAGGAGAGGTGCATGGAGGGCCGGAGCAGCAGACAACAGTCCACCCATTGGTTGGGTTTGTCCAGCATGGACTGCCAGATCACCATCTCCTCCGGTAGAGAGTCCATCCAATCCACCGTCTGGCCTTCACATTCCCCTGACACAACACCAAGAGGTTCTAGCTTCATTTATAAATACAGTTAAACCTGTCTATAGCGTCCCCTCTAAATAGAGCCTCCCTCTCTATAGTGCCCGATTTTAAATACATAGTACGATGCGATTTACATTAAAAGTGACCTGTCTATAGCACCCTATTCTGGTGAGTCCCAAGAGGGTGCGCTATAGACAGGTTTAGTGGAGACCCGGGCTCTGCACTTGGACTTTTACTCATTTATCGCAACAATGTTGGCTGTTTTACATATATTCGTAATTTTACAAATCTTGATTTCGGTTTTTTATATGTAAATATCCCAATTTTAACGTCTGCACCATATAATCTCTTTTAATCCATCGGCTTATGTATGTAAATTTCCTCATAGGTGTATATAAGGTCCCTGTGCTGCAGTACTTTTGTTAGTGTAAAAAGCTACCCAAGCCTGTTGAAGAACCTCATAGGTTCGAAAGCTAGCGTGAATAAAATGTCTATGTAAGAAGCTACTCTTCATTCCTTACT